AATGTATGCATATTATTTAATAAAATATATTCTATAGTAGATCCGTAAGTTATAATTTAATATAGATTCTATGTAATTTAAGTATTTTTGTTTAATACGTCTCTCGTCACTTGTGCGCTTCTTCATTTTCTCCTCTCTCAAAGAATAATCATCGTAGAGTGTTTTCCTATCCCCCAATAATTTATATTCCGAAACGTCGTTTCACTTGCTTTCGAAGTGCAAAAATTACAATACATTTCGTTTCAATATATAAGGAAACGTATCTATTCCTACAGGCTATTAACCAAGACACCGCATACGACTCATGCAACTTTGAGATGAACGTGGAGCACATCGCATACTGTATGAGGCGTCACTAATTAAAGGAAACTGACGATATTATTTGCTGAGATGTGACAATGTCCTCAACACTCTCCCTTACAAACTTTCTAGAAAACTAACATATAGGCGCTTTAAACAGTCCACTTGAGGAAGATGTAACTTACAACGAAATAAACATAACACACTGGACTTCCAATAGAGGAGAATAGGTGAATTCCAGGAAGCATTTCAGAAGAAGGAGATGCGATCACTGGAACTAGAGTTTTTATTTTCCTGACGTTTTGGATTCTGTCGAGAATCCGAAACATCAGGAAAATAAAAGCTCTTGTTCCAGTGATCGTATCTCCTTCTTCTAGACTAGACTTCTTCTAATATTATGCGTCAGTGCATGAAACCATCAGAATCCAAACTGAAGGGCATTTCAAAGGATAATACCACTCTGGCTTCCGGAACAATGACCCGGCGAACTCTCCCATATGTGAAAAATGTGTCTGAGTTTGTCGAAAGATAAGTAAGAAAATAATGCATACAAGTGGCACACCAACCCGCAACTACCTTACGTTCACAGCTTGTACACCGTAAGGGCAGGGTTGACTATCATGGGAGAATATGTATCATCGTCAAGAGCACGTGTACCAGTTGTGACGCAGTTTATTGTGGCCAAAGTGGGAAACGCGCCTTACCTCGCATACACGAACATCATTTAGCGGTCAGAAGATGAGACCGCTTCTCCCAGGTGGCCATGCACGCACTAGCTATGGTTCATTATGTTAAATGCTCCTCTACATATCCCATAGCCTGACGACGAGCTGAGAAACCAGCCTCCAAAATTTACGCATTAAAGATTTACGTTTCCCAAAGAAGTGTCTCCCTTCTCAATATATTTTTTTATAAAGCATTAAAAAACATACATTGTAAGTAGGTACTTTACTAAAGGTGACTGCCGACAGCATCTAAGCCACAGACGGTCATCTTCATCCCCTGTCTTTGTCGGAAATCAATTCCTAACTTCCATGTTTGCTTATTTCCTTGCTCAAATGTTTTACCGCGAAACTTTGAAAAAAAACTGTAAACTCAGCTAAACAATTCATACCGGGGATGTTATTTGTTCATTGTTCAAACGACGAAATGGCCTTTTGTTTCAACATATGTCAGTTACTTTATAATGACTAATGCATTTGACTAATTATGACTAATTTGCCTGTAACGATGAACATAATTGCCAGCATGTTACATTTTCCCCTTCCCTATATAAATGTTATGACCAAAGTAGAATTTATCGAAAGTTACGTGTGCTCGTCAGATATACTCCTGTATTCTTCTAATACATAATAGTTATAAGCATAAAATATTTGCTAAAAGAATATTATAATTGAGCTGACCAAATTCTCAAGGAAGGACATATTATCAATTTTCTAAGGCCCACCCTGCCCATTAATGGAACTGTGTACGATCGAGTCTATGGTACATCGATAAGAAAGCTGTTGACCCAAACTAATTTTTAACACAGTACTGCAAAGACCAAAATTAACTGTGGTTGTGGATTTAGTACGCTGACGAAACCTGCATCATAGTCAGTTGGTACATGAGTGAGGAATTCAAATTACCTCAGTAGATCTCAGTAGATAATCAGCTCACAATAGAATAAAAAGGTGCCCGTTTGCCATTCATAGATGCGTTGGCATGGGGAAAAGTGGCAAAAAACTCAAAAACCACTTTTACAAATGCGATGAATGGCTCTTTTATGCGACTTTCCCATGGCGACTGTCCTCTTTTACCCAAACGCAGCTTCATCAGAACACGTTATCGCAGTGTAGAAATATGTTGCACCAAGTCGGGCGATAAGAAGGCTGGAGAGCATTTTGAACATAAATTAATAGTGACCTGGTGGGCCGACAGTTGCGTCGGAAAGCCAGTAGAGTAAGCTCGAGTAAACACACAATACCCAACTGCTGGCACACCGTGCCCTTTGCTGGAGGTTTGTCTAAAGAATTCGGTATATTGATGAGCATACTTGGGATGAGGGTTTTCACAGCCCGGAAGCTCATACATCCTAAGGAGCCAATAGGTATCAAACAGAAATCTGCGTTCATTTAGCGGATAGAATAAAAGTAAAAATAATGTTTTTGAAATGGGTGAATACGTACGCGCGAGACCGTAGCGACACGCAATGAAACGAAAAAGCCAAGGATGGAGTAGAACCGACGAAGACAGGGGAGACTGGAATGGCCATTTTTGGCTTGTTACCCGTTATCAGGCAGTCATATCCGATCTCAAGGGTTAAAACCCTCGAGATTCGACCTCGGGATCTCTGGTCATTGAGTCTAACACTCTACCATTGGACCACGGACTCGTTGCTCCGTCGGATCACGACATATACTTATCCCATTGTGCCTTGAGGCTCGTACTTTCAGGCTGTCGCTTAGCAAGCTCAGACATATGATGGAGTGGAATCTGGTTAGGGAATACACTTGTCCCGTTGTACCTTAAGGCTCGTAGTTCATTGAGTTCAGGCTGTCGCATGAACACCCTCGTCGCAGCATATTCCTAATCGCAACCGACATAACAACGAGCCCGCAATGCAATAGTAGAGTGTTCACCTTAATGATCAGAGATCCCGAATTCAAATCTAGGGGGTTTAAAACACTCAGACTGGCTGATGACGGTTAACAAGCCAGAAATGATATTTCCGGTCTCCATTTGCTTTTTCGGTTCCAATCCATCACACGTCTGAGGTCGCAAAGCGACAGCCTGAAACCACTCAAGTACAAGCGTCAGGGCTCAACACGACAGGTATATTCCCTAAGCAGATAGCTCGGATGAAACCCCAGTTCCGAAAAGGCAATGTTTACTAGGTAGATGTCCGCTTTTCCTCACAGCTTAGGTTGCAAGTGCGGGAGAATTATAAGGCAGTGGGTGATCAAGTTACACATCTATCTAAGGAATCGTGGCACTTGAACTGACGATTTGATTAACTGACTTATCAATTTTTTTACCGGGAACTACGCAAACGAACTTATAATACAATTAGAGCAGGTGTGAGCTCACTTAGCATTCTTTCAGTTCTTGACGGTGGATTTGCGTGAGAAGGCGTAAATGTTGCTAGAGATGTCATTCTCTCCTACGACGTCATTCTCTTCTGCTTCATCATAGGATATGCGTATATTTTACTAGGAGAGAGAATTGCTTTATTTTGAAAATATAATTCCACAATTTTGGGCAAAAACCTCCTCCATTCCTCATCAGTTAAAATTAGGCAGAGTCACCACATATACGGGGTAATCACAGGCCATTATTTAATGGCCAAAGACTGAGATTGTCTACATATGGGGGAAATGTCCTTTGAGCTGTGGCAAAATTTTGGTCAAATTGAACTTCCTTCAAATCGGAGCTAGCGCCGTGCTGATGAGTTCATTGTGTTAGTCCAAATAAGCGGTGTGAGATGAAACTCGGTTTCTAATGGGCGTACTGAGCCAACCAATGCGTAGTTAAGAAATGTTATATGCGAAAGGAGGGAAGGAACATTGTGGCTTAATTTCAACTTAATAAGTTCTTTAGGAAACCTAGGAAACTTCATTGCGTAATGCTTTGATGCTGATTCGCCCAGTCATATCCAGGCTTTAAGTAAATGCGCCAAAATAGCCAGTCTTTCAACGTTTTTTAAAAACGATACTTTTTACAGTATGTGCTAATATTTTGAGTTATGTTGAATTTCATTCGGTCTTGACTGATTTTCGGCTCTTCCATTTTCCCCTGCGAATTTTGCACACACCATCTAATACTATGCGCCGATTTATGCAAAACCGATCAAAGTGCATGTTTTAGAGAAACTCTAGGCCGTAGTTTGAAAGTGCTAACGACGGTGGTGTGAGTTTTGGCTCAGGCGGGGGTGGGTCCGGTATCTAGAATATATAGAGCCACTCGCGAAAGTTGTTCTCACCTCCTCAGTTGCAGTGGGTGGTTTGTAGATCGACTCGTGAGAGGAACCCGCGCCATAGATGGGATCAGTGAGCCCTGTGACCGATCGGTGAGTTTTTCCTTTGCTACAAGGAAAGCCATCTACTAAGTTCCATGCAATGCCTGCGATACCGAATATTTTGGCCAAATGGGGAACTCTGTCCCTGCATG